CAAGACGTGGTTGTTCCAGCAAGCGGGACTGGCCTAGGGGATTTTATAGGGGTTTTAATTACTTTTAAATTTGACATTCTCAAATATTTCATTTTAATCAAATTTTAACTAGGTGTAATATGTTAGCTTTTTATCATTTGTCAGCCGCCCTGAGTCCGAAAGGAGAAGGGCGGGATATAAATACAATTAATAAAATAAAATAAAAATAAAATAAATTTTAATTTGCATACCTTATAAAATAATTGTGACCAAGCTCAAATTATCCTACTTTGGACACCTAACTCTCTGCAGAAGGTTCTAGTGCTGAGGGAAAATCTATCTATATGATTGCTAAGTACTGACACTTAGTGAATGGCACATAACCAATCAATAAATCATTCAATTATTTCCATAGTGATTGGATATACTAGTGAAAAATAAGTCAAGTTATATTAATAATATAACACAGCAATAAACATTTTAAAAAATCTGTTAGAATGAATCAAATTTACTGTACTTAACCAGGGACACATACCAATGTTCATACAATTAACTGGAAACTTTAAATTCACTTTCCTGCAGAGAAACAACTTATTTTAAACAATTCCAGTCACTTCAAACAAATCTCTTTCACGAAATGATAAAAATATGTTTAATAGCAATGCCTATCCAGTCAGGAAGACAGAAAAAAAAATGGGGCGGGGGAGGTTTAGACTTTATTTTAATCTTCTACAAAGTTAGTACTTTCTTTCCTCTAAATGCTTCTCCTTCAAACAGCTATCCAGTATTTGAAGGGAAAAAAGTGTAACTGAAGTGTAACTGGCAGCAGACCAAAGATCCTTCTTATGCGTAAGACAAACTGCATAAAATCTAAAGTGCATGTAATCTATGCCACTTGGAGAAAGAAAAGAAAGGAATGACTTAATTTGATAGCAGGTCAAATCCTTCAAAGAATATCCAGGCGCTGTGCAACGTGGTGTCATATTGTATTTTTACACCACCTTAATAAAATTGTTGGCTATGATGACTTTATATCAGTTCATTTCAAACTAGAGATATTTCAACTCACATGCCTTACCTATTACATTAAGCTAGAAATAACCTAAAATACATTAGCAGTTATATCAAAGGATCACTCAGCTGTGGGATTTATTCCCTGAGAATAATACATCCAATTTTAAGCAAGCTTGAAAAAAGGGAGCAAATAGACAATCTCTAGGAAAAACATCACAATGATGCAAAGTTATACAATTAAATATGGCAAAAAATAGTTCATATAGAAAAATTATCATCCTATTTCTTTGTGCTACTGTATCAACAAATGGAGAGCCAGCTTGGTATAGTGGTTAAAGCTTCAAGCTAGAAACTGGGAAAAGGTGAATTCTAATCTCGTCTAAGGACAAAGTCAGCTAGGAGACTTTAGACCAATGATTTTCTATCAGTCCTAGGAAGGAAGCAATTGGCCAACCACTGCTGGAAAACCTTGCCAAGAAAACTGAAGGGACTTGTCCAGGCAGTCTCTAAAAAACGGACACAATTGAATGGAAGAAAAATATATATCATCAAATAAGTAAATTATTTGATGAACAGACCTTTTGCAGAGAATTTGTGTTTGCTTAGCCAATGCTAGCTATTCTTAGGTTAATAGCAGAATTTCCACTGATCTTTGAATTCGGAAATATACCTTCATTTCAGTATGCACCAGAAGAAAAAGTGTATGTACAGTATCACAGAAATAAATGACAAAAAAGGATATAAGCACATGGTCCAACTTTCATATGTAACACACTAGTATGAAAAACCATTATTAAAACAGCATTCCTGTGATTTTGAAATTAATTCAGTACTCTTTCCCCAAATGCTATCAAATTAAAGATTGTGCAAGGTAGTTAAAACGGGACATCTTGTTTTATACAGTATGAAAAGAGGCAAAACAAACTCATTCATTGCTAATGAAAATTACTGAGGAGAACAGGTCAAGAAAATCTTAACTCCCTCAGTGTAGATCAGCTGACTTCCTGCCCATTTACTGATTTTACAGCTAAGATGCTAAGTTTCACTTGATGAATAGCATCTGGGAGTTTCTGACAAGGGAGATTGCTGCATATGATCTCTGATTATCTCTCATCTAGAATATTATAGTTGTCTCCTCACAGGCGTTCCCAGTTCTGTTCTGCATCCTCAGATCTCAGTCCAGAAGATTGCCATTTGGGTTGTTCACATAGTTCCACACGATTCTCATGTCTCAGTATCAGCTTCCTATTTAAGCAAGAATCCAGTTTAAACTAACTATTGGTACATATGTTTAAAGTTGTCCGGTCAGAAACTTCCCAGTATTAAATCTGCCTTTATTTCTCCCTCTAATTCTTAATAACGTTCCGAACAGGGATTTGGTTGGATCCCTAAGTTCCAGTTGGGCCTTCAAGGACTTTGCACTTGACTCTGGATTCAGCTCCCTTTCTCCTTTCCATTTTGGGCTAACAGGATGGCCTTTGGAAGACAGTTAATGAACTAGGGTGGGTTCTGGTTATTCTATCTTGCCCTTATTTAACTGATAGTTCCAGGTTAACACCTGTTTTAAATTACTACAGATGTAGTAATTTATGTATTTTATGTATGCATAAAATTTATGTATGCATGCAATTCTATCCAAATCTCTTTTATATTGTATACATCAGGGGTCCCCAATCCCCGGTCCGTGGACTGGTACCGGGCCGCAGCATGCCAGCAACTGGTCCGCACAAACAAGCAAAGCCCCATCCACGAGATGCAGGTAGCACACAAAACCACACACCCTCCGGTCCACAGAAAAACCTTTCTCCACGGAACCGGTCCCTGGGGCCCAAAGATTGGGGACTTTTGGTATAAATTGTTCCTTTGAATCCTTTAGTGTTAACATTTGTTTCCTGAGTATTGAACTAATTTTACTGGACCAACTTGTAATTCACATATGCTGAATTTTTATATTTATAAGGAAAGTAAATATTAGCTACATGGGAACTAGAAAACCCCATTACTTACCAATATGGTATAGCCCAATCCAGTCTGTGGGATCCACTTCTTCTTTAATGTCCCAGAAAATGATGAGGTTCTGAGATTGTCCCAGAGTGTATTCATACATGCTTGCAGTCAAACTAGAGCGGCTCTCGGAAGTCACCAGATCAGTGTCGCTGTTGGCACGCTGTAAGTTCACGTTCTCAGCCACAGTGCCCTGAGATGCAAGGCTTTGGAGGTTCTCTGGACTCAAGGTATAACGCAATTGTGGATTACGCCGTCGCGCAAAAAGCACATGTTCTCTGGCAGAACTGGTCATCCTGATCTTTGTTTATAGAGAAACTGTTTCACTTGCAAATCTGTAAAGAACAAAATGCAAACATCAGGAACAAATTCTCACATCAGACTAAATTTTGAAATTTGGTTAAGAATGCTAAGAATAAAGAAAGAAGAATAAAAAAACCTGAAAACCTATTTTCATCGTAAAATACCTAAAACCTCCCTTTTATAAAGAAATAAATTCACAATACAGATTTAGCTAATTTATAAAACTCTCATTGGAAACTTTTGTTTCTTTAACGAATTAATCATCTCATAATGAGATGAGATTCTATTGTTATGGACAGCAGCAAGTGTATTGGTTTGAATTAATGTTACTAACAGTCAGGACTGGCCATGCTATGAGATAAAACAAGTTATCTTAAGATGATATTAAAGGCAGGTAATTGTTAGGTATTTAATTCATTATTATTTTATGTTTAATGCCAGAGAATATCTTTCTGTTTTCTATGGTAAAATAATTTGGTAGAATTTTTCCTGATTTTAAATTTGATTCACCTTTGGCCTGCCACTACTACAATGTGTGTTCATTCTAACAGAGATATTTGCATAATGCATAATGCTGGAGAATGTGTGTAAGTATATTTTTAAGGATTAAAATGAAGAAATATGCCTCAAGATGAAAAAAGAACATTCCCTAAATGTGGTGTGCCTATAAAATGCATCTATAAACATCTTCTTTTTATCCACCAGGATCTCTCTCCCACTTGATAGTTTACCTTTTTAATGCATTGTTTTATTTTTTTAGAAATCTTGCTCTTTATTTTTATTAAAATAAGAAGGAAACAATCACAATATAGAAGACTCTATAAACCTGAAAATAGTCCTTTGATGAATTAGTCTTACTTCACATTCATAAGAAACCCATTTAACGTTTTTTAAAAATAAGATCATTAATTTGTTAAACAGCATATTCTAACTTTTTATTCCAAATTATAAGTACAGTATTATCATATCTTTGATTATCTGTAAAAATAAACACTGGGTTAGGAAATTTTAAAACAACTTCCAATAATACAGTATAAGACAGTGGTGGCGAACCTATGGCACGGGTGCCAGAGGTGGCACTCGGAGCCCTCGCTGTGGGCACACATGCCATTGCCCCAGCCTTGCCTCCCCCCGCAACCCTCCTCTCCAGCCACTGCCCTGAAGGAGAGTCGCCCTCGAGCGTGGCCCACATGGAGCAGCGCAGCCAAGGACATGGTGCCAGGCAGCGTAGACAAGACTCTGCCCTCACACCCCATCATGCAGTTGATGCTGCAGGACGCAGGCAGAGAGTGTGGCCGCCATAGCGCTCTGGGCTGCCTGGGCAATGTGGCGGGCCCTGGAGGCGGTGAGTGGTCCTGTGGGCAGGCGGGGCGGGGGATGAGGGGCAGAGTGGGGGCGGAGCAGGGAGGTGGAGCAGGGGCGGAGCAGGGAGGTGGAGCGGGGGCAGGGGCAGTTTTTGGGCACTCGGTCTCTAAAAGGTTTGCCATCACTGGTATAAGATTTGAGAATTTGCTGGTGCATCAGGTCCTAACTGGGATGTCAAAAGAAACAAGGTGCAAATGTCCCTCATCTATATTTCCAGAAATTGCCTCTGGGCTACAAAATCTTTCTTGGAAAATAAAAGTATTAGGTGGCTACAGCAGGGTGTTTGGTTTGGGAGTCTTCCCAGCTGATTACAAAAAGTATATTAATCTGTGTAAAAAGGAGGCATCCTGTCAAATGGGAAGGGGACAGCTCTTGGTGTCTTACATGTCATCTGAAACTATTTTCATCCTACTCCTTTATGACAGCTACCTGTTACTTGACTATATTTCTATCTAGCCATGCTAGGAAAGTGGAAACTGCAATCCAGCAACATCCAGGCAGGGGCAGGTTATCCATCATTCTATGCACTTCTGGCATAAATTATACAAAGCACAGAAAACAATGAGAAATAATAAGCAAAAGAAATAAAAGGCAGGAGACAAAAGAAAAACTAAGGAAATATTCTCTGTATTAGTAATATTCATGATACCTCTCCATATTTTTCTATCCTTGCAACATCTTCACTTCTACCATATCTGTGCACCTCTTCATACAGTACTCTTGGTTCTTTCAATGAGTTATCAATTCCATACAACCATGACTGCCTCAGTCTTACCATTTTTCCCGTCTGATTCACTATTTCTTCATGTATTTTTGTTGTGATTTCATTTTTAACCATTTTCTGTGTATGACCAAGCCATCTGAAATGCTTTCATCATCACTCGTTTTTTAAAATTCTATCCCTATTCAAACATCATCCATTCATTCTTGACCCTATTACTTCTTGTACCATATATATTTCTTAAGAAACTCATCTCTAGTGAATTCAATTTCCATTTTGCAGGCAGTCTACTACCCCATTACTACCATTCATTCAGGAGCCATTCAAAATAACAACTGCCCTGAATGAATGGTAGTTATGATTGTTCCTAGCCTTTCTGACTGTTGAAGAGTCCTGCAGACACATGATCAAAATTTGAGCACTTGGCAATTGGCCCACATTTATGATTAGCACAGCATCCGGTGGCCACATTCTCGTCCTCTGCACGAACTGCGTCTCTGTCAACTTCTCCCACCTGCCTGTCTCCCCAATCCCCTGCACTACACCACCTACCCCTGCCGCCCTCCACCACCAGCTCCAGCTGAACTTCATGATCATTTTCCACACGCTTCTGGCCTGGGATTTACGCAGTGGGCAAGAGCGCAGTCCTGGGACACGCTCAGTGAGTGCAGCAGGGCAGCAGAGCCTCTTCTCCATTGAAGGGAGCTCGCTGGGCCTAGCAAGAGAGGAGGCAGCGGGATGGAGCCCACAGAGGAGCAGGGTGGCAATGCAGTCGCATCAACCCCTTCTACCACCACCAGTGTGAGGAGCAATTGCCTAGAGACCATGAAGGACAGTCATTTTGAAAACACTGGTTAATAATCCAACCGGAGCAAGACCTGGATTTTTTTCCAGATAATTTCATCCAAGAATTAAGGAGTTGTAGCCTCCCTAAGCATTCTAATTAAAACACATCAAGCCAGAACAAGGCTTGACAATTTAAGAGTAATGCGTAAGAAAATGCTTATTTTTAAAAACATTTTCATTATTAAAAATTAGATCTTAGAATTTGATGAAGAAAAAAAAACATAGTAACAAACATAGCCTCATTGCTTAAGGCTACGTAACATGCTAACCTATGCAGTACTCCCATATCCTATATATCTTATTTTTCAGCCTCAGTTTTGCAATCAGACAAGTGAAAATAAAATAATCTAGAATGACTACAAGTGAGAAAAATAGGATTGTGTTTCCCCACTTGAGGAGAGAGAGAGAGCAAGAATCTGATGGGAAACAGCTGAGGAGGGAAGAGAACACAGATGTCATGTTTACATTTGTAACACAGAACAGTGAGTGGGACACATGGTGATGTGGGCCAGAAGGACGTACAGACTAGGCTTATTCAATCTTGCCAGCACCACTGTTTATGACTGTCAAATCAGCTCAGACTCTAGAGAACAGAGGAGACCAAGAGGAAAGGAAAGTCACCCATCTCTATTCTGCCATAGTTCTTGCTTATTATTTCATTTCTTGTTTCAAGAAAGGAACTAGGTCAAGCTTTAAAAAAAATAATCTGAGCTTTTTATATTGATTATAACATCAGGAATAAACTTGCAACTTTCATATTCAGGAACATATGTAAAATATTTCAAAATAAAATTATGCAATGGGCTGGAAACTATAAAATATTAACAGCAATAGGAATTAATTTAGAACAAAAACATATATTATTTTATTCCCCAAAAGCAGAGATACTTAGTAAATAATAATTAGTGAGAAGCAAATATTTTGCAAAAAACGAAATTGCCATTTCTACCCTTGCTCCACTCTAATTTTGTTTGATGTGCACTGCAGCTCAAATATAATTGCCTTCAATTATACAGTATCCCCCATTTGTTTTCCCTAGACAATTACAAGCCCTGCAAATTAACAGTCATACCAATAAAATTCTTTTATTAAAATTGCTTTTTGAAAATGCTTTGAGAGCTGTATGGAACAAAATTTCATTTTAATATATGCCAATTAGTGTACCTTCACAGTGACAATAAAGTTATTATGCTATGCTATGCTATGCTATGCTATGCTATGCTATGCTATGCTATGCTATGCTATGCTATGCTATGCTATGCTATTCTAAAATGCTGCGTGAATTAAAAAGTACTAAAAAGTAGCAATTAAAAACAGTTCATTCACACAGTTTAACAATATCACATCTAAAAATTTCAGAATATTTTATTATTCCCATTGCTGTTATGAAACATTAAAATATAAGCTTTGCTGTTGCTCTGATCACAATTGGCCAAAGTACATATTTTTATACCCATTATAGGATCAGAATTTTGTATAGTGATTTACATTGTTTATATATAAACACTGTAAATCACTATACAAAATTCTGATTCCTAAGGCAGCCCAAAATAAAATGCCAACAGAACTGCCCAATAAACTGAATTTAGTCCCAGTTAAAATGATCATTATTAACTAATTCTATAATGCAATTCAATTTTGTGGGGATGAATCAAACTATTTTCAATCTACTACTTTTGAATATTTTTCCATAATGTTTTCTGCTCTGTTTCCACACAGACATCTGCATGAATATACATAAATATTCAAATGTCCCTAAAGCATATTTTATCCTTAATAATGCATTCCAATTTTTTTCTTGTAATATGCATACATTTTAAAGTGCGCTTTTATTTCTTTAGCCAAATTTACACAATTTAGAAATCAAGTAAAACCCTAATAATCAAATCCTAATTAGCACATTTGACTGATGAAAATTCCTTGCTGGATCTTAGCAACCACATAAACACACCTTCTTCGGAAAGGAATATCTCCAACTTGACCCTTCAGGTCTTCTGTCAACAGGCATATATTGCTGTTGTAATCAAGTCCGCATACTGATGCAGGGGTGTCAAACTCGC